CACACGTCCATGTGAAGCGTCTGCAACGGGGCCTCTGTCGGAGGAAACTGGGAGGAGTGAGGGGCAGCACGCTGGCGCCCCTCGACACAGGGGACACAGGCAGGGCCAGGGCCCGGAGGAAGGGGAGGGAGAGGACCGGGGAAGACCAGACACAAGGACCCGCGAGGCCATGCCTCTGAGCCGAAGCAGAGAGGGGTGGCCAAGGCGGTGGTGCCAGAGGAGGGTCTCGTGAGACAGACGACGACACGAACAGGGGGCAGACTCAGGACCAGACCTGGACGCTGCAGCAAACACCTGACCAGACGAAGGGACTCTACCAGACGCAGCACCTGGAGGAGAAGCAGTGGTCAGTGTGTACAGGCTCGACCCTGGCCGACGTGTAAACGTAGCCAGGTGACGACCTGTATCCGCCTCCGTACAGTGGGTCACCCGCTGACGAGCAGGGGTGAACTGGTGGACACCTGCATCCTGGAGGTCAGCACCACTCACCAAGTTCGTCGAGAACGAGGGGAGGTAGAGACCAGTCAGGGTGCCAGAGGGGGCCGCTGGACACGGGAGGACAGTGGAGAAGCGAGACAGGACAGGTCCCCCAGAGGGGTCAGCCAGGGACACCGCAACCGGCCGACTCAGCGGCGTGAGAGTGGTGCGGTCCCTAAAGAAGGAGCGAGACGCTCCAGAGTCAAGGGTGAAGGTGTGAGAGGCCGAAGCCGACACAGTACCTGAGAGCGCGGACTCACCAGCACCTGAGAGCACAGACGCACTGGCACCTAGAGCTGCAGCCTCACTAGTACCTGACGCGGCAGTACCAATGCCCGGGTCGGGCGGGAAACACCGGTAACAGTCATCCTCATCACTACCAGTCACAGCATACATAGCAGAGAGAATAGCATCAAAGTCAAGATCATAAATAGCTACTCCAGCCCTAGACAGCTCTCCCCAGCGGGGGATCTCAGCGGCCTCCGGAAACTGCTGACGCCAGGCGTCGGTCAGGCGGCCAAAGCAGCGACGGGCTGTGTGGGCGCCCCCACACCTCTCCCCCGCACGGTCACCGGTGCGAAGAATGTAGGGGCAGGGACCAAGTGCACCACCGCGCTGACACTGCAAGTACCACTCACGGAGCTGCTGAGGGCCGGGGACGGTGCGAGAGCGCTGCTGCTGCTGCGGCTGCTGCTGCTGCTGCTGCTGCTGCTGCTGCTGCTGGCGCTGACCACCCCCAGAGCTGCTCCGCTGGGACGAGCCACTCCGACCCCCACCTCCACTGCCACCCCCGCCTCCACCGCCACCCCCGTCTCCACCGCCACCTCCCCCACCAGGGCCGTCGCTCCCACCGCTCCCACCGCCTCCTCCGCTACCACCTCCGCCGCCACCTCCGCCTCCACCGCCGCCACTAGTACCTCCACTCCCGCCACCACCCCCACCGCCACTCCCACTCCCCCCTCCACCCCCACCGCCTCCTCCACCGCCCCCTCTAGCTCCACCCGCCCCCTTGCCCCCCTTGCCCTTGCCAGAGCGGCGTCTGCCGCTGGGGGCAGACGCCGCGCCGACCGACTCAAAACCAGCGAGGTCGGCCGCAGCGGCAGAGGCGACAGAGGGCAGCAGGGGGGAAGGACCACACCCCTCAAAGATGGGGGTGCGAGGGTCACCCCGAGAGGCCCCTACAGCGACAATACTCTTCTCAGCCGCTAGCAGGGACTCCTCAAGGAGGTCGACAGTGAGAGTGGTGGGACAGACAGAGAGAAACTGGTCCCTAACGACACGAAGGGACTCAGGGAGACGGGTGACGAGAAAGTAGAGAGTGATGTACATGGGAGGAGGGTTCGCAGCGCGGAACTCAGCAGGAAGGGCAGCACGGTAGCGGGTGTCACTAGCGCGGAGGTGGGTAACTAGGTCAGCAACAGTGGGAAAGGAAGCGAGGTCAGGGAAGAGAAACGGTAGCATGAGGCGGCTAAGGGTAGCGGAGGAAGGGGAGGAGTAGCGTGCAACTACAGCGTCGTACAAGGCCTGAGCGGTCTTGCACTGACTAAAGTGGGCACGCTCAGAGGAAGGGAGGTGGCGACGCACAGCAAGACGTGCAGCAGCATCGCGGGTCGCCCACTTGGAGCGAGCAGCAGAGTCAGCATCAGCAGGCGGGGCAGGGACAGCGCCAGAGACAAAGTCAAAGAGAGAGACCTCATCTATCGCATCACACAGTAAGTACAGCTGCAGGTCTTCAATCCAGACGGCAAAGTCAATGGCCCTCCCCTCAGCGTCAAAAGTAAGAACATTGGGGGTGGCCATGGCAGCAGCTGAAAGTCTCACCGGGCTAGGAGAGTCGGGTAGGACAGCAGCAGGCAGCTCGGGCTGGGTCGGGCGGCTCGGGCGGCTCGGGCGGCTCGGGCGGCTCGGGCGGCTCGGGTAGCTCGGGTACCGGGCGGTTCGGCTGCTGCTGGTCGGCTCGGCTGCTGGTGGGCGGCTCGGCTGCTGCAGGGCGGCTCGGCTGCTGCTGGGCGGCGCGGCTGCTGCTGGGCGGCTCGGCTGCTGCTGGGCGGCTCGGCTGCTGCTGGGCGGCGCGGCTGCTGCTGGGCGGCTCAGCTGCTGCTGGGCGGCTCGGCTGCTGCTGGGCGGCTCGGCGGGGCCGTCAGGGTGCAGCTGCGGGGCCGGGACAGGGGACGGCGGGGCCGTCAGGGTGCAGCGGCGGGGCCGGGGCAGGGGACGGCGGGGCCGTCAGGGTGCAGCGGCGGGGCCGGGACAGGGGACGGCGGAGCCGTCAGGTGGCGGGCCAGCAGGCGAGGTGGCGAGCCGTCAGGTGAGGCGGCGGGGCCGTCAGGTCAGGTGGCGGGCCAGCAGGTGAGGCGGCGGGGCCGTTAGGTCAGGTGGCGGGCCAGCGGGTGAGGCGGCGGGCCGTCAGGTGAGGTGGCGGGCCAGCAGGTGAGGCGGCGGGCCGTCAGGTGAGGCGGCGGGGCCGTCAGGTCAGGTGGCGGGCCAGTAGGTGAGGCGGCGGGCCGTCAGGTGAGGCGGCGGGGCCGTCAGGTAAGGTGGCGGCGGGCCGTCAGGTGAGGCGGCGGGGCCGTCAGGTAAGGTGGCGGGCCAGCAGGTGAGACGGTGGGCCGTCAGGTGAGGCGGGGGGGCCGTCTGGTGAGGTGGCGGGCCAGAAGTCGAGGCGGCGGGCCGTCAGGTGAGGCGGCGGCCGTCAGGTAAGGCGGCTGCGGGGCCGACAGAGGTGCAGCGGGGGGGGCCTGCTGTAGCGACGAAGAGGCCGCGCGGCCGTCTTGAGGGCGGCGCGGCGTGGCAGAGCCGAGAGGGCGGCGCGGCGCGGCTGTAAGGGCCGCGCGAAGTGGGGCCTGGGCCGCGCGCGCGAAATAAAAATGAGTCGCGCGCGCGACTCTCGGGGCGCCACAAGGGCAGATCGACGCGCACTAGGGGGAGCGCGCCTCGGGGAGAATAGGGCGCGCTCCGGGCAGGAAAAAAAATCGTGGGTGGGCCCAAAGAACGGTCCTTAGGAGGGACCCGCTCTATACCATGTGAAACTAACTGAACAGGAATGAAATTGACTAAGTCAGAGTTGGGTACAAATACAAACCTAGCAAACTGTACCCCATATGTGCTACCCCACTATAGCCTACAAACATGCATCAGCTATAATAATCTGACACGTCCTACATCACCCACATCGTCAAGGGCTTACCGCGCAGCTACAATCTCATGAAGAGGATGATGATGGTGCCCGGCACGCGTGAGTCCCTCGACGAGGACTCCATCACAAGCTACATTCTCCAGGATGAGGCGATGCAGGAGGCAGAGCAGCCCACGGAGTTCCTTCCGCAAGCGAGTTACGCTGCACCGACGAAGCCGAATACACAGCGGGAGCAGCGCTGGAAGTCGGGCGGAAGTGGTAGCGGAGGTGGGCGGTCGACGAAGGACGTCAACAAAAAGAGGTTGACGCGGGACAAGGGTCGACGAGGTGGTGGTCGACGGCGGGAGTGCTGGGTCTGCGGCGACACCGACCATCTCTCCTTCGAGTGCCCCGACAGCCATGACAGCGACGAGGACGACCACAAGGAAGGCCGCGGTCGATCGGCCAGTCGTCGCCCCCGTCGAGATGAGAAGCCGCGCAAGGAGAAGCAAGCGTCGAAGAAAACGTCCTCGACGAAGGACGTCGACAGCTCCAGCGGCAAAAAGCCGAGGCGACGGGGAGGCGTCGTGCTCGATGGTCGGCGTGGTGGAGCCGACGGTCTTGCTAGCACCGGAGGTTGGCGAGGACTTCCAGGCGGTGGCAGCAGCTGTGCAGGCCAACCCGATGGCGGTGCTGCTCGACAGCGGGTGCTCCCACCACCTGATGGGGACGAAATCGGTCTTCGTTGACATGGGGTCGAGCAATGGGGTGAAGCACGGTGCGTGGGTTCAACGGGGCATTGCAGCCTGTCGAGGGTCGCGGAACCGTCGCTCTGCAAGGGGAGGCCGGGAAGCGGGTCCTCATCCCCGACGTGCTCTACGTTCCAGGCGTACACGCAAACCTGTTGTCTGCTGGCCAGCTGAAGGAGAGCGGCGTGCTACTGCAGGGCGATGGCGATGAGATGATGCTCGTCGCCGCGACTGAAGAGGTGCTCGGTCGAGCACGCTACACTGGACGAGTCCTATGCACCGACCTTCGCCCCTGCTCGACGCAGTTGCACTCGACCGAGGTGGTGGCTCTGCGGACGATCGTCTCGGCGACGAAGACGACCCCCGATAGGATGCATGCGCGGCTTGCCCACGTCAGCGTCGACACGATCAAGAGCTCGGCGAAGCATGATGTTGCTACTGGGCTCGACATCACGCTGTCAACCGGAGCAGACCCGCCATGTGTCTCGTGCGTCGGAGGAAAGCTGGCGCGGCACACCTTCCCTGCCAAGGGCTCGGATGCAGCGGAGGCGCTGGCTGTCGTGCACATTGACTTGTGCGGGCCATTTCGAGTGGCTGCCAAGGATGGCAGCTTGTACTTCCTGCTGTTAAAGGATCGCCATACTCGATTTGTATGGGCAATGCCGGTCACCAAGAAGAGCGATGTGCTGCGGGAGTTCCAGCGGTGGCTAGTGCTGGTGGAACGGCAGACGAAGAAGTCGGTGCTGTCGCTTCGCTCCGATCGAGGAGGGGAGTTCCTCGGGAAGGCGTTCACCGACTTCGTCGACGGTAAGGGCATCGTCCACACCTGACGTGCCCCTACACTCCGCAGCAGAATGGCATGGCTGAGCGGGAGATGCGCACGGTCGTCGAGTCCGTGCGGACGATGCTGCTGCACATGGGCGTGCAGCACCACTGGTGGCACCTTGCTCTACAACAAGCGGTCTGGGTGCGCAACTGCTTAGAGCGGTCGACGACGCCATCGGGAACGACTCCGTACCAGCTGTTGACTGGACAGAAGAGTAAGATTGTCGAGAACAGCAGCTCGACAGGAGGGTGGCAAAGCTGTCACTCACACGAAAACTTCTTGCGCCAGAGAAGATTGGTGGTTCATATCGGGAAACTTGTCTTTCGAATCGAAGTGCATCATTCAAGTGCGTTGTGACGGCGCCTGGCTCTGCCCAGTGCGAGTGCCTTGAGGAGGGCCTTTCCTTCCAAGAAACTGACAAGACGTGCATCCGTGGTGGGTGTTGGAATGTGGGTGAACGCTGGAGTGAGTGAGTGAGTGGGTGCATGTGCGTGTGTGAGTGAGTGAGTGGATGCATGTGCGTGTGTGAGTGAGTGAGTGTGTGTGTGTGTATGTTTGTGTGTGTCTGTGTGTGTGTCTGTCTGTGTGTCTGTGTGTGTCTGTCTGTGTGTGTGTGTGTGTGTGTGTTTGTGTGTGTGTCTGTGTGTGTGAGTTCTCACCCCTTTCCCTCATACGCCTGGACTCTTTCTCCCTCTGCAGTACCCCCGGCTGTCACGTGTGACAAGGACTGCGGGTCTGCAGAGTGCGTTCTCAAGGACCGCACGGCCCAGTGCAAGTGCCCTGGGAGCCTCGTGTTTGACGAGGCTAACATGGCCTGCAGCGAGAAGGCTCCTGCTCCTGGTAAGTGCCTGTGCCTCCTGCTGCATGCTTGCCAGAAAAGAAATGATTCATACAAACCCAGTGCAAGTGCCCTGGGAGCCTAGTATTTGACGACGCTAACAAGGCCTGCAGGACTCCTGCTTCTGATAGGTCCCTGTGCCTCTTGCTGCATGCTTGTCTGTGCCTGCTGCTGCATGCTTGTATGTGCCTGCTGCTGCATGCTTGTCTGTGCCTGCTGCTGCATGCTTGTCTGTGCCTGCTGCTGCATGCTTGTCTGTGCCTGCTGCTGCATGCTTGTCTGTGCCTGCTGCTGCACTTTTGTCTTGCCTGCTACTGCATGCTTGGCAGCAAGAAAGAGTCAGACCAACCCAGTGCATGTGTCCCTGGATCCTAGTTTGCAGTGCTCCTGGTGCAAACCGACGCCCCCTGGCTCTTGGCCAGCCTGTCAGGCTGATTTTACCTCCCTCCCTTCTTTCCGTTACCCATGGCAGGGAAAGACCCTTGCAAGGCACACACAGTGAAACGAGCAGAATCACTTCTGAGAATTCTCACAAGTGATTCCCAACGGCCAGACTGTCAGGCTGATTTTACCTCCCTCCCCTTTCTTTCTGCTACCTGTGGCAGCGAAGGACCCATGCAAGGCACGCACAGTGAAGTGTGGCAAGAACTTCAAGTGCGTCGTGAAGAATGGGCAGAAGGCCGCTTGCGAGTGTGAGACCGGCTACACCAAGAGGAACAACCAGTGCATTGGTGAGCCTTGAGATGACTCTAACGTGCGTTGTGAAGTGAAGGGCAGGCAGGGCGCTGGTTAGATAACAAGTGTGCAAAATTGAGCCAGGCTCACAAATGCGCTGGTTAGATATCTCAGCATTGAGTTGCAAAGGCCGGGCAGGGTGCTTGCTTGCGAGTGTGACACTGCTACACCAAGTTGAACGGCCAGACCAGTGCACTGGTGAGCTGACCAAGGGCTTTAATTCAACAGCTGCTCACCCATGGGTTTAAGAGGTCGAGAGCAACGAGGGCGGGGCCAAGAGGTCTATATGTCAAGAAGTCAAGAGTAAAGGTTGATTTTGGGAATTTTCAATTTTTGCCGAGGTTGGTTATGAGAATTCTCAAATCTTGTTGAGGTTTTGATTTTTGAAAAATCCCAAAATCAACCTCAGTCACGAGGTTTGAGGCACCTCAATAATCAGCCTGAGGTCATGCGGTTTGAGGCGCCTCAAAAATCAACCTCAGGTCACGAGGTCAAGATGAAGGATGTGAAGAGGTCGAGTGACAGCTCCTCCTTTCGAACCACTCGCTCTCACCTTTTCCCTCCCTGTTGGCCCATGCAGCCTCATGCTCTTTCCCCTCTCCTCCACCCCCCTGCCTCCCTCCCACCCACGCCAGCCATGTGCAAGGCCTGCTCTGCTAATGCCCAGTGCGTGGTGGTGGGAGGAGTGGCGGTGTCTCAGTGCAGGACGGGTTTCGAATGCTCTTTTCCCTCTCTCCCTCTTCTCCCCCACTTCCCAAGCCAGCCATGTGCAAGGCCTGCTCTACTAATGCCCAGTGCGTGGTGGTGGGAGGAGTGGCGGTGTCTCAGTGCAGGACGGGTTTCGAATGCTCTTTTCCCTCTCCCCCTCTTCTCCCCCCCTTCCCACGCCAGCCATGTGCAAGGCCTGCACTGTTAATGCCCAGTGTGTGGTTATGGGAGGAGTGGCGGGATGTCAGTGCAGGAAGGGCTTCAAACTGAACAAGAAAACTAACAAGTGCACACGCTAAGGGAGAGTGACCAGGTACGCTCTTGCTTCTGTCACGTTGTTTCCACAGCACGAGCCACACGCACAGCACGAGCCACACGCACAGCACGAGCCACACGCACAGCACGAGCCACACGCACAGCACGAGCCACATGCACAGCTGGTGCATCTCGGCTGAAGGTCATGCATCGCTCGCATTGCTGTAAGCTCCCTTGCTTCTTCTCTTTCACACGCTACTCGATAATATGCAATGCTTATCTGTCCTTTGTTGATCAGTTGCTCCTCGGGCTCCTGTCATTCTCACCACACCTTCTATTCTCCATCCACGTTCTGCTCTTTGTCACATTCCATGGCTGATCGTCCTCTCTCACCTTCTGCCTCGTGTCACTCTGGCCTGTGCTCAATTCACCCTCTCTTTGCCATTTTCAGCGACTCAGAAAGGATAGGTGGAAAGGCCTTGGGGCAAGGGCAGGTGGCAAGCGAAGAACAGGCGACCCTAGTTGGATGGGCAGGGGGCAAGGAGGAGCAAGCTGGCAGCGCCAGAGGAACATCAGATCGGGGGGGAGGGGGGTGGGCTGATGGAGCAGAGGTGCAAGCAGCTGCATGCGGTTTCTCGGAGAGCAGGAACCAACTTGGCTGAGGGTTGGCTGAGCCATTTAATGCGTGTAATGCCTGAATGAGATTACGTGCTTGCTTGCTTGGCTTGTTGTACTGGTGATAGCACCGAGTGTGTGTGTGCATGTGCATGTGCATGTGTGAATGTATGTGTATGTGTTTGTGGATGTGTTGTGTATGTGTATTTGTATGTGTGTTCTTTTTGTTCTGTTTTTTTAGTTAGCTCTTGAAGGTGTGTTTCTATGGCACTTTTTAAAACCAGTATGTGCTTGCAACAAATCTTGAAACAAATGGAAGTCTAGGTGTTGCCCCAAAAACAACAGATTGTCGTCTGGAAATGTGAAACATGCTTTGGTGTGACACCACACCACAGTGCCCAGTTTGAGTTGCCTGGGCACAATGTTTTTGAAAAACTTGGCAACAGATAATTGTTTGGCACCCCATTTACGGTACCTGTGCAAGTATATTCTTCAACTCAGCACTTGATTGCATAAACCCAAAGAAAAAAACAGTACATAGCAACCGTATTACCCCGGATATAAGCGCACCTGCGCTTGTAATAAAACAGTGTTTTTAGGGGGGTGCGCTTATAATTGAGTCAAATTTATAAGCGCATGCACTTATACAGTGGCAAATACATAATTTTGATTTAAAGCACCAAATTGTGCATCCCAGTACAGTTGCATTTTCAATCAAATCAAAATGGGCGTCAGAATCGAGTGAGGGCGATTCTCTGCCGGCGCACAGGGGCAAGGACACGTCAAGCTTGCCCCGGCCCAGTGTATGAGCCAATCACATGCAGTCGCTCGCTCATTGCACAGCCCCCACGGCTGTGCTGTCAGTCAGCTTCGCCCCAGGCCAGCATACGAGCCACTCGCATGCAGTCGCTCGCTCGCAGCGCACAGGCACGGTCCCTTTTCCCACCCCCCCCTTCACCTTGAAAGGGCTGTCAGTCAACGGACTTCGCAAGGTTCCGCCTTTCCTGATCGAATCGCCCGTGCTGAAGAGAGTCAACCAAAGTACGGTAGAAATGGATGTGGGTGGACTCTCTGCAAAACAGGGAATCGTAATCATGATTTAAAATAAAAATTGTACATGCGCTTATAATAAATCAGGGTTTTACAGGGGGTGCACTTATAATTGAGGATCGGCCATAAGCGCATTGCTCCAGATACAAGCGCATGCGCCTTTAATAGGCCTGCGGTTATATCCGGGGCGATACGGTATATCCAGTTAGTTTACCAAGAAAGAGTGAGCACACAAAATTGTTGAAGGCAGCTAATCCAACAAAACCTCACACGACACTATCCAGGAACCAAAGCAGCAAACACCAGTTGCACCAGGAAGATACAATCCGGTCCTTCACCCCATCCATACACACCTCCACCATGGGCCTATCAGAATCCACATGAGGAGCCGCACCCACCTTCGCTCAACACAACCATTCCACAGTCCACCACTCGCCAAACGACCGTCCCACTTACCCTACAACACCCAGAAGCAGGGTGCAAAAAAGGGTCAGACTATTTCCTTCACACCCCCTTCCTCTCCTGTCCCTCCACCACATTGCCTCAGCTGCTCTGTGCTTCTGATTGCTAACCTCCCATCCACCTTCCTCCCACCTTGCCACCACCCACCTTCCACCCATACCATCCTGCCATTATTCTGCCAACCCACCAACACAGCAATCTCCCTTTGTTTAGTTGGTCTTGGGGCCTTCCAGAGGCCATGCTGCTGCCGCCTTGGTCGACCACGCAGACCACCTTGAATGGCATGATGCAGCCATTCCGCATCTTCTTGTGCCTTGTGTCGCTCTCTGTTCCTCCAGGAATGATCACCACACCAGGAGATCCGCTCTTTCTCTGCTCCACGCCGGCACCACCATCTCCCTCCGGCTACTGCCAGGTGTCGGAATGAGTGATGGCAGCACCCTTGCTTTAGTTGCTCCCATCATCCTCCTAGCAGGCTTCTTCGCTGCGGTTGAAACACACAGCCTTCCAATCATACCCGCCAGGGTAGTCACAGCTCGTGAGCTGAACACAGTGCTGCTCGCCGCAGCAGGGATGGTCATCGTGCTGCTGGTGACGCCTGAAGCACTGTCACAGCGGCCGACGTCGCTTGTGCCTATTGTGCCGCAACATGTTCTGCTGAACGGGATCCCCGTGCTGGTGCAGCAGCTGTCAACGATGCTGGAATTCTCTTCCGCGTTGCTGCACATAACCTCACTCATGACAGCATCATCGTAGCTGATGACATCAAGGATGGAGGAACCATCCTTGCAGTTGACCTCACTCACGTCGCTGCTACCTGTGCTGCTGTCAGCGACCATGGAGCTGATCTCCAAGCACCGTGTGTTGGAGCCGTCGCTGCAAGTGCTGCTCTGCTCGGATTCATTCGGCAGGGAATCATCGTCTGCAGCCGAGCTTGAGGAGGTCAGCATCACATGCACTGGCGTTTGCTTCTTCTCACGGAGCTTCCATAGTGAGAGAGCTTCATAATAGGTCGGATAGTCGGTTACAGCCATGTCTAAAGACAGTTGCTGAAGTTCCAGCTAGGAAAGTTAGCAAGCAAGCTGAGAACACGAAGGTCGGAGCTGTCAAAACTGATTTGTTGAAAGAGAGAGCAAAGATAACAAATGCAGACTTGCGATTATTGTCCTGGGGGTTGTAGTTTTCTACGTGAGACGGAGGGCGCACAAGGAATCAGGCATGGGAAATCGGCGAAGCCCCGTTAGCAATAACGGGTGAACAACGGCTGCTGCAGTACGCGATGTTGCAGGGCACGCTAAGGAATATCGAGAAAATTCCTTACACTACCTCCCCCCCCCTCAAGAAGCCCCCTCCGCTACGCTAGTGCGTGTATATCGCGGAAACTCCGGCTCCTTAGGTACACTTGCAGGGCAGGGTGGTTTTCGATGTTGGCCAGGGCACCCAACTATCTTCAGTTGGCATGCGATCCTTCCAGCGAACGAGAAATTCAATCTTACTGATTCCCGTGGGGTGTCGAATCCGATGGCTCAGGATTTTTTTGGGCTCGATGATCGGTTCCGATGTAGGGCGAGTCATGGATGGCGGGCGGTGACGAGGCCGTTGGCTTGTGGTTGGGATGTATGGGCGAAGCAGGCTGACATGGAACGAAGGGCTGATGTACCAGTCCGTCGGCAACAGTAGGTGGGCTGTCACAAGGGTAATCATGTGGCTAATTTGGAATGGTCCACAGTAGCGGAGTCGTAATTTCGGTGCGACGGGCAGTCTTAAGTTATGTGTGTCAAGCAGTACGTAGTCTCCTGATCGGTACGTGACTGGGCGGCGGTGGCGGTCAGCGTTGCGCTTAGCGATGACGTTGGCCTTTTAATTGCTTCTACGGCTCTGGTGCGGGCAGCTTGCAGAATTTCGGCGAATTGCTGTGCACGTGGCGTTGGGTTGTCCGGGCTCGGCGTCATGGGCACTGTAAGGTTTCGCCCGTAGTTCAGGTAAAACGGGGACTGCTGCGTTATCGCTGACGTGGCGTTGTTGTACGCGAACTCAATCAGCGGCAGCTGCTGCTCCCAAGTGGTCGGTTCGTCGCACGTGGCACGAATCAACTGCTCTATTGTCTGATTCGTCCGCTCCGTTTCACTGTCGGTCTCGGGGTGGTATGACGAGCTAAACTGTAGCCTTGTCCCGAACTACTCCCAGAGGTTTTTCCAGAAGTTGCTCGTGAACTTCGTGTCGCGGTCGCTGATTATCGCGGCTGGTATCCCGTGCAATCGAACGACGGATGCGATGAACAGGCGAGCGGTTTCTTTGGCTGAGATTGACTTCTTGCATGCAGCGAAGTGTGCCATCTTCGTCAACCTGTCAACGACGACCATAATTGCGTCGTTACCTCCAGGGTTCGAAGGTAACCCTGTGACGAAATCCATGGTTACATGCTGCCAGGCGCGTTCAGGCGGTGGAATCAGTTGCAACTGACCCGCCTTTCTTTTTTGCGAGCTCTTCATCACCTGACACGTAGGACAGGAGCCTACGTGGTGTTGTACGTCGGTCAACAGCTCCGGCCAGAAGTAATACCGCTGCAGTTGCTGTCGCGTTTTTTCTACCCCGAAATTTCCCGAGGTGATCCCGTCGTGTGCCTCGTGCAGTAACATTTCCCTCAGTAGTGAGTATGCGAGTACCCAGATGCGGTTGGTGCCTGTTTTTACGTAATAGACTCCTTTGGCCTCTGCCAGTTGCTGTGAATTTCCGGTTGTGAAAAATGGGTCGGTACGGTGTCTGTGGGTGAATAGGCTTGTTATCAGTGGGTTGGTTTGGGCGAGTAGGATGGCGTGGAGTTGGGCGGTGGGGCGTGTGAGTGTGTCGACGATGTTGGATGCGCCTTTTTTGTACGTGACCGTGTAGTGGAAATAAGACTCCGGATAGTCCAACCATCGGATCTGTCGTGGGTTGAGATTCGGTTGGGCGCGAAGGTACTGTAGAGATCGGTGGTCTATCCGTACTGTCACGTCTGCTCCCTTGAGGTAACATCGCCACACCTTGAACGCGTGCACGATCGCCAACATCTCTCGGTCGTGTATCGGGTAGTTGCGTTCGGGCGGGTGAAGCTTGCGGGACTCATACGCGATTGGCTGGAGGCCGTTCCCAAAGTCCTGCAACAGTACTGCTCCCACAGCGATGTTGCTAGCGTCAGTGACAAGCTCGAATGGACGGCGCGGATCGGCGATGTGAAGTACGGGCGCTGAGCACAAAATATTTTTGAGGGCCGAGAAGGCAGCATGCCCCACGTGTACTCAACCCCCTTCCCCAGCAGGTCAGTCAACGGGGCAGTCAGCTTCGCCATGTCGGGGACGAACCGGAGCACGTAGTTGACGAACCCCAGAAATCTCTGCAACTCGGTCAAGTTAGTCGGCGCGTGCCATGCTTGAATCGTCGCGATCTTCTTCGGGTATATTTTCACTCCTGCAGCTGAAATAATGTGTCCCAAAAACTCCAGTCGGTCCTGTAAGAACTCACACTTAGACACTTTTGTCGGTAGGCGGTTTTCGCT